AGTGGATTCTTTAATCTAGGCTTTGGGATCCCTTACCTTTGGGGTTTTTCCCACTACTAAAATATTTTTCAGATTTTGTTCCAGCCTTCTCTCTATCCAGGGATTTAACTTGAATTCAGAAGTTTTAGCTCCATAACTTTCAGAGTTAAATTAGTTTTTCTTGTGCCCTTTTAGAAAATGGGAGTGTTCTCACTAGAGTGATAACACTGTAATGTAAAAACTGAAATCTGCTAAGAAAGCAGAGTTTAAATGTTCTCACCATAAAAAGAAACAAATAAGTGAGGTGCTGGATGTGTTAATTACATGGGAAGAGTCCTTTCACAACGTACACATATATCAAATCATTAAAGATGTTATCATTTTATTTGTCAATTATATCTCATTAAGGCTGAAACCCCTCCCCCACCCGGATCTCTTAATCTATTTCTAGAGGAAAAGTGAATTGCAACGTATGAAAAATAGCTTCCTCCTAATAGATGAAAGATTATTAGAACTTATTTGTAAAATTTTTTCACCATAGTGTTGAACGAATCTGTGTACAACAGTTTTCCAAATAATAAGTAACTTATTAAGCATTCAAAAAATATTCCTTGGTGTAATTAACAATGGAATAAAAAATGGGAATAAGAATATGCCCAGCTCTGCTATATTTCATGGTATCCTAGTGCAGATTAAATGAGATGATACTGATAAAAGCATCTACATCTCCTGATTAGAGGCTGCAAATTATAAACTGTAGCTGTTTTGTTTGATCTGCACAAAAAAGAAATTTTAATATTGAATCAGTCACCAACATTTTCCAATCCAAAGAATTACACAAAAATCTGGATTTCCACTTCTCTTAAAAAATTACATGATCTGGCAACACTGTTTCCATTTGTACATGGCAAAAACTGGCTGGGTTTGAGTAACAGCTGTCCCCTTGAAAATGGGCAAGAAAGCTTCAGTTTGTCACAGTCCTCAATAATCCCTGTTGGTTCCGAACATGGAGGCAGAATATTCACTGTCACGTTTTACCTTATAACTGCCCTGCATGTCATGAGTCTGCTCCATGTATGCATGTGGATTTACAAACCTCATTTAAATTTTGTTTCTATTTCTGGCTCTAGCTCCCAAACTGATTGAATGATGATCAATCTACTCATTAACCTACCAATCTTTCTTTCTTTTTTTCATCTTTTTCACCTGAATCTCCTTAACCAAACAAAAACTAGTATGAAAAAAAAATAGGAGGGCGCCTGGGTGGCTCAGTGGGTTAAGCCGCTGCCTTCGGCTCAGGTCATGATCTCAGGGTCCTGGGATTGAGTCCCGCATCGGGCTCTCTGCTCAGCAGGGAGCCTGCTTCCCTTCCTCTCTCTCTGACTGCCTCTCTGCCTACTTGTGATCTCTGTCTGTCAAATAAATAAATAAAATCTTTAAAAAAAAATAGGAAATAGCATATACTAACCTTAATATACAATATAGCAGTAAGCACTACTTTTATTTTTTATCTATTGTCTCTTTTTAAAAAGAAGTGACCTGAAAGAAAGGAGTGTTACTCTGTGTTATGCTGACTTTTCTCTATCCGTAGGTTTTATTCATACTTCATCCTTTTTCCTGACTCACCTCATAAGCAGCACCTAGATCCTGGAATTTCTCCTGAGCTCGAGGATCATCAGGGTTCCGGTCAGGATGAAGCTGTAGGGCTAGTTTCCTGTAGGCCTTTTTAATGTCTTTTATAGAGGCACTTCGAGGTACCCCTAAGATCTTATAGAAATCTCGCCTGGGGAATAGGGAGGGGGAGAGGGTACTTCATTAAAGAGTTATACATTACATTTTTAAAGCCAAATTTTTTCCTTTACATTTAGGTTTGTATATGAGCACAGAGGTATGAAAATGAAGGTATATATGTGACACACAAAAAAGCAGGACTAAAAAGAGAACACATCAGAATTTGTGATGAGTCTTATATATTGAAATAGTCACAATGAGAGGCTATGCACTTTTTGAACTTGGCTAGAATTATTCAAAACATCTGTGGTACACTTCTCTTAGAACTATCTTCAGGCAAGAAAACTATTTTACTCATGGCCACAAGTTATTTTCAACCAAAAACCACATAATCAAATTAACATTCTCCTCTTCCCTTCCCTCTATTAGTGACTTAAATCACTTCTGGCTGTTTCCAAAGGTCAAATAAAAACCAAAAGATGATTTTCTTTATTCAAAAAGATTCCATCACATAAATGTTCTAATAGTAGCTTTGTTTGGAATGTTAAACATGAAGTAACTGAAATTAACTTGAGAGGTTACCATAGAGGTTAAGCCAAAATCCAGTAAGGACCCTGAAGAAAGAATAACATCCATTTGGATATACGAATTGTAGTGTTATTTTGCTAAAAGTGAGAGAAAATACCAATTTTGCAGTCATTGCTAGTGGTTATACTGGTTTGTCTTGGTCAAGTCTTAATTACAGACAGCTGCTGAAGCCCATATGCAAGAGCCTAAAGTCTCAGCAGCTACAAATATACATATGGCAAGAGCTGGGAGATAAAGTACAGATTCGCTGACCTCCTGGCAAGGGACTATGCTGGAACCAAATTAACTATAAAAGGAATCTTTGCAAGAAGGGCAAATGGATGGAACATACTATAATAAATTTTCAGAGCAGGGACTACAGCCCATAGAAGACACCAAAAAAATAATCGTTGAATGAAATGAATAATTAAGCATGATCACAGAAACCTACTCCTTTTGCCAGAGTCACTTTAGCCATCAAAATTTATTCTGAAAATGCATTTCTCAACACAGGGGATGGGAAAGTTGTTCACAATGGACATACTAATGTAGTAGTGATGGTGATTTTAAAACGCAATGGGGATAAAATGCACTGGGGTGCTAGGAGAACAAGACATAACATTGAACAAATTATTTCATAAGCTCTTAGTCCCATTTTGGAAAGTCATTTAATCATTTCAGGTGTAAGTCTGAAAAATTATCACCCCCCCAAGGGATTCCATGAAAAATAATTAGATGCTTTATCCTCTCCCCAAAAATCTGCAAATGCCCCAGAGATCTCTTGAGACAAGCATTAAATAAATAAAAAGGTTCACTAAAATTAATAACAAAAGAGCTTTTTAAAGAATGAGGCTTACTTAGAATATGCTTAATATAAAAATGGCTAAGTAACAGCCCAGAAAAATCAGGGAGAAGATGGCTGGCATAGTTCAGCATCAATATTATAGTTCCCAAAAGACTTCTTCCCCCGCCCCCCAAAAAAGGTTGGCATTTAAAGCTACAGAATTAGCAAATTCATACTGACATTTTGTTTAAACATCTTAGGATATGTGTTGCTTTAAGTGAAGTACTAAAAAACATACTAAGAAAAATAAAAGAGCATTACCTACAAGAAACTAAATTTTTTAGCAACTTAAAATGCTTTACAAGAAAAAAAATGACAGTAAATGTAAGCATATATGTACAGGGAAAAAAACTTTCAAGAAATAACAAGCACTTCAAAGTTTAAAGTTTTGCTAACCAGCATCTCCTCCAGTTAGAGAAACTTACGAATTGTTAGAAGCTAAGATTTCCCACACTCTAAAACATGAGCCTGGCATATCGTATCCTGTGGTCACCAGGCTTTAATACCATGGATCTAAAGGGTTGGAAGGATCCTTAAGAGTTCAGTTGGTCCTACTCCCTTCATACAGGGGTACCTTATTATCTTCATGCTACAGATAAGACTTTAGGTGGTTCCTTAAGAGGCACAGAATTCATAAGTGGGTTGGAGATGTATGGTCTTGAATGGCTCACTACCTGTTGGTGAAATGCTCTTCCCGTCCTAAGATCATAAAGCTTCTCAAGAAGATACCGCAAAGAGAGACAGTGAAGCATGATGACAGCTTAGGCTGAATTATCTCAAGAAACCGGAAAGTACAAAAACTCTCCAAAGAGTCTGCCTTGCTCCCTCAATCCAATTTCCTTCAGTCCCAGCATGGTTTCTCTGTCTGTTCCTACTTCCTCACTCAGCCTCGCATCATAACCCGCCCACTTTAATGTCAGCCCCCTCAGTGGCTGGCTGCAGGCTATACATTGTAGGGCCCTCTTCTACAGCTCAGCGGCAACCCCACCCCCACGGTGTGTCTGGCTGTGCATCCAAATCCCACTCTTTGGGGCAAATCTAGCTCCAGGGGCCTCTGGACCTAAGCCCCCTCACTCGTGCCACCCACTGCTCTCCTGTCCACCCCCCGCGAGCCTGGCCCACAGGACCCATTCTTCTGCCCCCACCGCCTCACCTCAGCAACGCCCCTCTCTACTCCCTCAGTCTGGCAATGCTCCCTCATCCCCAGCCAAGACTGACAGACTCACGGGCCCCGTGCCCGCGGGTGCCTGTTCCTCACCCGGCGATCACGGCCCCGAGGAGGTAGAGCAGCAACAGGCAGAAGGTGCCCAGGTTCTGCGGGGCCATGGTTTCTCGGTGCCGGCCTCTGTGCCGGTCCCTAGCCCACGCGCTCCTCACAGCCTCCGCCGCCGCCGCGTCGGCTCACCAGCCCACCCGGCGCTGAGAGGCCGCCTCCCACCGGGCTCTCCTCCTCGGTCCGCAGCGACAGCTAGCTCGCCCCCTCCTCTGCCAGTCCACTTCCCGGGAGTCCCGAGTCCCCGTGAGAGAAGCCCCCAGCAGGCGAGAGCCAATCGCTGCTCGGGACATCACACGCGGCCGGCGCCTCGCAGCCAATCGGCGCAGTACACTTCACCTCCGAGGCGGCGCGGGCGGCCAGTTAGGCCTCCGAATTGCAGCCGCAGCTCTGGGCCAATTAGAGGAGGAAACGTCAGAGAGTCGCGCCGCCGCAGGGATCCGCTCAGCCTGAGTAGCCGCGAGTCGTAGAAAATTACGTAAAAAGGTGGTAGGGGGGAACCGAGACCAAGACCCGGCACCCAAGGTACACGAATCCCCCCCGCCCTCTACCTCGGACTCTCCACCAATCACAAGGCCCCGCTTCCAATACCGACCTATTAAGGGAGGGACGATTTATCTTGTTACAAGTCTGAGAATTTCATTCATACTGAACTTTACGCTGGATGCGGGAGCGGAGGGACACAGGAGAAATGGGCGGAGACAATTACTCTAAGCCAACCGTGAGGGTGAACGCGTTGCTTGAGATCTTATTTTACCCTCCTGGAACAAGCCCGGAAGAAAATTACCTCGGTTTCACTGAGAAGAGGCCGTGGACGCAGGCAGGTTTGGATTCGGATTCAGCTTCCATCACTTAGCGGTGAGAACATCCCCCTTCCCTTCCCCCCCCCCCGCTCTAGCCTAAACTTTATTTACAAACCTGAGGCGAAACATTTTACTGGCAGTGTTGTGAAATTTTAATGGGAGGAAAGCTGTAAACTGTCTAGCACAGCGTCTGGCACACTAAGCCCGCAATGAATAACTATTATCACTCTTAGGAGAACTCTTTGATTCTCCCCACCTCCTTGTTCATGACAAAGTTCTAGGTGTCTCCCTTGATTCCGCCCCTGTATTCCCTATCCAAATCTTCGCCTTTAAACTATATCCTGAATCTGTCCACTACTGTTCATCTCCACTACATCTCTGCGCCAAGTCACATGATCCTAGCAAGACATCCTAAGTGACCCCTGCTTCAGTTCTTAATATTTTACTATCTCTTATTAACTCCTGACCCCCAGCCCCGTGATTTTTTGCAAGCATGTCAGATCATGTCATTCCCCTGCTCAAAACCCTCGAATGGCTTTTCATTGCACTTAACACCCCCACTCTTTATGCAGGCTTATAAAACTCTGTGTCTTAATAAAGCTGGGGGGAAAAAATTTAAGCCCACTATGATCTGTGCCCTCACATAGTATACTCCTTATCATGTTCCAGCAAGACTAGTTTTTTTTTCTTTTTTGAATACACCAAACTCATTCCTAAGGCCTTTGTTCTAGCTGTTCTCTCTGCCTGAAGCACTCTTCCCTTAGTTTCTAACACGGGTGACTCCTTTTTACACTCAGATCAGTTGAAATGTCACTACTTCAGAGAAGACTTCCCTGGCCAATGAAAAATGGCCACTGCTGAGTCCCTTATTCTTACACCATCCTATTGTTTCCATCCCTACTGCCCACACTCACACAACCGTAGGCCAGTTTCAAGAGAGCATAATCTAAACTGTTCACACCTGAATAGGACAGCATCTTAGAACGGAGCCTGCCACAGAGTAAAAGTTGTTTCAATTGTGATCTTCCTATGCTGGCTTCTTATACTTCAGTCCTCAGATCAAGCTTGACATTGGTCCCCTCCTCCCCCTTCCAAACTTATAGCGTTTATTACATTACGAAACTGTCCAAATTTTTCCTTAATATGTATTATCTATTCCCCTTATTAAAATATGCACTCCAAGAAAGCAAGGATCTTATCTGTTTTGTTCACTGCTGTGACCCTAGTGGCTAGCACTGTGCCAGACCCACAGCTGTGCTCAATAATAATTCCTGTTGCAAAAAAACAAAGGCATAGAGAGGGGACAGAATCTGTTCAAGGTCACTGAACTATTTAGTGGTGCAGCTTGACTTCTCACCCAGATGTTTGAATCCAAAGCCCCTATCTACCCTTGGCTCACACAGAGGTAAGGGGGACCACAAGGCTACTGCTTTCAGGAAGATGCCTACTGGAGGAGAGAGGCCACATAAAAGAGGAACTAAATTGCATTTTATGGTCATATTTACCTTTGCACCTCCTATTCAAGCCATAAACGAACTAAGAAACCAGGAAATGGCTAAAATTCATTAAGTGGAGACTTCGAGAAAGGAGTGGTGTCTTCTGCAGGGTGGAATCCAAAAAGGTTTCATGACGGTTGTAATGTGGCGGGAGAGCTAAGAAAGCTAGCCTGCGGGCTCTTTTGTTAAGGAGCTGATAATGCCCGGGGCTCTCGCTTCAGACCGCAGGGGTTTCTATCCTGGCTGCTCTCTTGTTGTGACCTTAGGGGTGTGTTACTTCCACCTCTCTACGTCCTAGTTTAGCTGTAGGTAAAACAAACGTACTCAACTTAAAGGTCTCTTGGAAAGACTGAGATAATACAAAGGTGCTTTGCTTTACACAGGGCCGGCCCGCAGTGAACACTATAAATGTAAACTGCCATTGTCATTACATTACTGATCAAAGCGTGCCGACCTTACCAGGAGCTATTGGCTGACTATGGATGCGCAGAGCAATAGAAAACTTCCTACTTCTCTGGACTGAAAGGCGCGATACCAGAAGCGGCCGGGTCCGGCTCCAGGTCCCAGTGCCGAGGACTCTTGGTCTCAGCAGAGCTAGTTCTCAGCCCCGGGGAAAAGCGGGAGGCCGCTCTAGCAATGTCAGCCTCCAGTTCTCGGTGGTGCTTGGCCTGGCGCTTGCGCAGTAAGGGGAGACGGCTGGCGAGGGGCAGGCCGGGCGAGCAGGGCGCGGCGGCGCGCGGAGGGTGAGGCGGAGCGGCCCTGCCTTCGCAGGTAACCGCGCGCGGGCCGGCGCCTGGGACGGAGGGCGGGCCGGGGAGGCTACCTTTTGGATCGTCAGGTCTCGGGTTCGCTACGGAGTTTGCCGGCTGGGGCTCCCTGGTTCCCAGAGTCCGGCCGGGCAACTCGCGCGGCCCGGACCGGGACAGCGTCGGAGGTGGCGGCAAAGCCCCGGGAGGACGGCTGTGGATCTGACGCCCATCTCACCGCTTGAAAAACCCCACCCCAGCGCTCCCAGGGGCTGCTTTTGAGAGGGAAAGAGCCCATGTTTGGGAATTTAGCCCTCTAGAGTTTCAGAATTCATTCCCCAGGATCTGGCTTTGGGCTGCGCACTTCAGGAACAGGATTTCAGGATCTCGCAGCCTCTTTTATTTTGGGGCGGACTAAGATCTTCCTCACGTAACTTTCATCTCTTTTCCTCAGAGCAGCGCTAAGCCATTCCCGTGTGCGGAGACAGTTACCGTTTACCCTTTCACACCCTTCTTTTGCGTTTTGTGCTCTCACGTTCTTTAACCTGGCCCTATGTGGCCTCACTTCCAAAGCCACTCGTTCTGGTAATCCTCTTCTGGATCCATTCCCATTTTCTGGAGATTTTCCCAAAAGCTGGGTTCCTAAAGTACGTTTGTAAGTAATACGGTTCTCATGTCAGACAGACGAGTTCTAATCCAGGGTGGTGCCAACCTAAGTATGTGACTTCGGGTAAGTCCCTTAACTTCTTCAAGCCCCAGTGTGCTTATCTGGAAGTGGGGACGATCATATTATCTCTAGGTGGTTGAAGGCAAAAAGAGGTGCAGAACGAAAAGTATTTAGAGTGCTACCTTGAACATAATAAGCATCCGGTTAATGTCAGTTATTTTTTGACCAGGTAATTCCCCCAAAGAAGCATGACGTTTTCTTGGAATGAAATGGAAAGTATAATAATAGCAATAAAACATTTTCCATCAGTCATATAAAGAAGGTTTTTTACATGATGTTACTTAATGCCGAGGAGTGCTCATTGGTCAAGTGGTCCTTGATGGTACCTTGGTCAAGTGATGGTGCAGTTTGATACAGTCATCTTGGAAAGCAATGGAAATATGCCAAGAACTTTAGAAATGTAACTTACTTCTTTTAACCAATGCATATCTGAAAATTTTCTTGGAAATAATCATAGGGCAGAAAATTTGCAGAAAGATGGTAATTATAGCATTATTTATAATTGTGAAGCATTTAAATTTTGTTTTATTATTTAAATTGAAGTATAGTTGATATACATTATATTAGTTTCAGTTGTATAACATAGTAATTTGACAATTATATACATTACAAAATACCACTGGGGCACCTGGGTGGAGCAGTTGGTTAAGCCTTGGACTTGGTCTCAGTTCAGGTCTTGATCTCAGTTGTGAGTTCAGGCTCTGTGTTGGGCTTCACACTGGGTGTGGAGCCTACTTAAACCAAACAAAACAACACGCACAGTAAGTGTAGTTGCCATCTGTTACCATACAAAGTTACTACAGTATTATTGGCTATATTTGCTATACTGAACTTTTCTTCCCTGTGACTTAATTGTTTTATAACTGGAATTTTATACTTCTTAATCCCCATCACCCTTCACCTACATTTAAATTTTCTACAGTGGAAAATTTTAACATATATGGAAGTAGAAAGCCACCATATGCTCATTACCCCACTTCAGCAATGATTAGTATCTTGCCTATCTTATTTTAAACCTACTTAGTGTCCAAAAATAGGAGGACAGGTGAATAAATTAGGGTACCTTTATGTAGAGTGCTGTGAAGCTTTTAAAATAACAGAATTGTATATATGCTATTATCATGAGTTTGAAAATTCAAAAACTAACATCCAATTTGTGTAGAAAAAGAGATAGAAAGGAAGTACAACAGAATATTAACTAGTTTCTCTTTGATGGTGGAACAGTGGATGATTTCCCCCCTTCTGTTTTTAGATAAATTATAAGTATTCCATAAAAATTATGTATTGTTGTTATAACAAAGAAACAACAAACAAAATCTGAAAGCACTGCACCTGAACTCAGTACAAAGAATTTGCCAGAGCAGCTTCACTGTTACAGAGAATAAAGATATCTCTTTCTGCAGCCAGCATTTGTGGGAGCATTCGTCTGCCACATCATGTTAGTGCTTCATATTGAACTAAATGTCAGCCAACAGGTCCACATCTTTAACCTACCATCTGCTCTGTGTAAGTGATTTGACTCTGAAATTTTATTCCCCTTATTTTGACTAGCATTGCCCCTCAGGGTAGGCAAAGATTTCCTGTGAAGAGATGTCTCTCCCATTTCTTCTTTTCTTTCTTTCCTGAGCAGGATTCCAACTCCTACTTCATGCATTTTTACACTCTCCCTAAAACAACCACTTTGAACCGTTTAAACAAGATAATTTTGTTTTATCACAGAAGTTTTCTTATTTAAATCGGTTGTAGTAACATCTGACCAAAAATTTATTCTGCACTTGGTTGATAAACTGGATCTTCTTCTTTTTTTTGGTAAAGATTTTATTTATTTATTTGACAGAGAGAGAGAGAGAGAGAGAGAGAGATCACAAGCAGGCAGGCAGAGAGAGAGGAGGGAACAGGCTCCCTGCTGACCAGAGAGCCCAGTGCGGGGCTCGATCCCAGGACCTTGAGATCATGACCTGAGCTGAAAGCAAATGCTTAACACTCTGAGCCACCCAGATGCCCTGGATCTTACTTTTAAATTGACAAATACCTCTTTAAACAGTGAAGGAAGGGGATCATCTTAAAGAAAATGTGTAAATGGAAAAAACAACAACAAGAAAATGTATAAATGAGTTTTGTTTCAAATCAGTGTGTGAAAAACTTTTGTTTCCTAGGTATGCCAAGAAGCCTTATCACACAGATGTCCTTCGAGATAATATGGATCAGTCCGGAGTTCACCTCTGGGTGAAAGCAGAACCCTTTATAGTGGGTGCCTTGCAGGTTCCCCCTCCATCCAAATTCAGTCTTCACTATCTCAGGAAGATATCCACCTATGTGCGAACCCGGGCCACAGAAGGAGCTTACCCACGCCTATACTGGTCCACGTGGAGGCACATTGCATGTGGGAAGCTGCAGTTGGCTAAGGATCTGGCCTGGCTTTATTTCGAAATATTTGATAGTCTTGCAATAAAGACACCAGAGGAGCTCCTGGAATGGTCTGAGATTCTGTCCAACTGTATGTCTGAGGATGAAATTGAAAAACAAAGAAATAAGGTATGGATTTATATGTATGTGTATGTGTATTTAATTATTTTGAGAAATGAACTATCTTTAATTTTTGTACTAGCTGTGCAGTGTGTGGTTTTAGGTTAATGGCTATTGTGATTCCAAAGTGCCATTTTTTTTTAACTGTTTCATTTGGGCAGTATTTAATGAATTAGCCCTTAGAAATCACTACTCACCTACTTCCAAAGCACTAATGTTACAAAAACCCTGTAATTGAGGGAAATGCTTTCACTGATTTTAAAAATATTTTAAGGTGAGTGAGTGGCTATGAATCATTGATATGTTACAGTTAGAGAACCTGACTAATTTTCAGTGAGGATCTCCTATGTGCTGGGATTCAAAGATGACTGGAACAGCATCTCTGCCCTCATCGAGCTCTTAGACTAGTAGGGGAAGCTGGAGTGTAAAAAAAAAAAGTGCTGTTTGATAGTGTGGAGTGTGTAATAGAGTGTGCATAGAGTACAGAAATAGGATAGGAAGAGAATGGTTAGTTCTGGTGATGGGGAAAGACTTCACAGAGAAAGTATATTAATCAAAGTAGGCTCATTACAGTAACAGGCAATCCTGCCATTTCAGTGGCTTAGCACAGTAACAGTTTTTTCTCATTCATGCAGCAGTGTAACACAGGGCATCTGGTTGGATGAGTCTCTAGGCTGCTGTTGTCCAAGCAATGACTCAGGGATGTAGTCATCTTCTATCTTCTGGAGCCACAATGTTACTAGCTTTGCTGCAGTTAAAAACAAACAAAAATGACATTCTAATGGCCTACAGTAACAAAGGTTTGTTTCTTGCTTATTTTACACGCAGCCTGCACTTTAGCTAGGGCTAATGGTTATGGCTTGGCTTTGTGTGTCTACTCATTTGGGAACCCAGGCTGAAGAAACATATTCTGTATAGTTAATGCCCATTCTGTGACAGAAGAGAAGAACAGCAGAGCAGGAGAAAACTCATGATTCCTCTTAAAACTTTTTCTCTGATGGGACATAAACTGTAACTAGTTTCATTCCATTGGCTAAAGCTTTGTTATATGTCTGTGTCTAAAATCAGGAAGATGGGCAGCTAAACTACTTCACAGGAGGTAGGGAAATCCCATGGCCGTGGATCAGGCTGTATAAGCCTCCTAGAGGATGTGGAAGTGAATAATTGCATAATTATAATAATTATAATAAAAAAAGTTTGCCCCAGCAGTGCCCACTAGGGCCTCAGAGTCCTTCACTTCCATTTCTTCGTGGAGCATTTTTGGGAGAGTTGAAAGTGGCGTTTGTCAATCACCCACATTCCATTGACTGTAACCCAGTTATACCATGTCTAACTTCAAGGGAGGCTGAGAAATGCCATCTAAATATGGGCCCAGGAAGAAAAAGTTTTTAGTTAGTATCTAGAAAAATATTTAGTTAGTATCTAGCCACTCTCTGCCACATGGGGTAGTATCTAAATAAAGTTTGGAAATTGAAAAGTTTGCCATGAGAGGAAGGACATTATAGTTATTCATTAATTAAATGTTGAGTGCCTACTGTGTGTGAGGTACAGTACTAGATGCTGGATTCAGAGATTAATCAAACCTTCAAGAAGCTCCACAGATTTTTTGAGTGCTTATTATGTGCTAGATTCTATGCTGTGTACTAGGAATGTAAAAGTGAAAAAGATGAGAATCTTAAAGTCTCATGAAGAGGAAGGTATATGAATAATGGTAATATAACATAATTGTTAAATGGAAGTAGGTATAAAATCAAGGAATTTTGCTGAGTGAAAAAAAGCCAATTCCAGAAGGTTACATACTGTATAATTCCATTTATATAACACTCTTGAAATGACAAAATTATAGAGCTAGAGAACAGGTAAGTGATTGTCAGGGATTGAGGAAGGAGTGAGGGTGGGAGGGAAGTAGGAAGTAGGTGTGGCTATAAAAGGGCAACATGAGAGATCCTTGTGAAGATGGAAATGTTCTGTAACTTGGCTACATCAATGTCAACACCCTGATTGTGCTACTGTATTATAGCTTTGCAAGATGGGAAACTGGATACAGTGTACATGGGATTTCTCTATTAGTTCTTAAAACTGCGTGTGAATCTACAATTATCTCAAAAAATTTAATTAAGAAAGTAGCATTTTAAAAAATATGTAGATTTATGGGGTTCTGATTGACAGTTGATCAAACAGGTCTAGGTGGTCCTGAGAATCCGTATTTTTCAATTCCATAGTTATATAGCGGGTTTTAGCCAGGTTGGGAAGCAGAGTGAATAGAGCTATAGTATCAGATGTATTACATTTTTGTGTCTCCTGTATGTGTATGGGAATGGATATATGAGGGTAATCATGAGCTTCAAATCCTGAGCTTCAATACCTTTCTTCAAATAAGAAATGATTTATAAACACCTCTCAGACCAATAGTATTTTTTTAAGTCAAATACTCTTAAGAACTTGATGCAAGGGGCACCTGGGTGGCTCAGTGGGTTAAGCCTCTGCTTTCAGCTCAGGTCATGATCTCAGGGTCCTGGGATCGAGTCCCACATCAGGCTCTCTGCTCAGCAGGGAGCCTGCTTCCCCTTCTCTCTCTGCTGGCCTCTCTGCCTACTTGTGATGTCTCTCTCTGTCAAATAAATAAAATCTTAAAAAAAAAAAAAACCTTGATGCAAACCTGAGTCCTCCTCCCCCACAAAATGCAATTTCATAATTTGTAATTCATAATTTCAAAGATTACATACAATTTCAGATCTTGCATTAATATCCTAAACTTTTTTGAAAAGTCTGTGAGCCTTAGGTTAGACTAAACTGCATATTTTGGCGAAATTTCCTTCTTCCTTTCTTCCATTTATTTATTCAGATGACTAAAGTTTGTCTTTTTTTTTTTTTACTGCAATTTTAAACTTCTGAAATACTATACTTTTAAAAAAATATGTACTTCATCCTCTCCTCTTCATTGATTCTGGGGAAAGAATGTCTATGGCCATAGAGGCTGCATAGCTTTCCGAGAAGGTAAGTGACTCTAGTTTAATTCGTTTCTGAAACTCCTATATCTGGGTATCAGAAGCATACATATCAAATGCCAGCCACTTTCTGCATTTTTCTTTTTAGGATTTGCGAACTGTTGTGAATTTGTTTTGCTGTATTAATTGTAGACTAGGAACTGATATGGGTTAGGACATGTATTCATCATCTCTTTTCTTTTTGGCCAGCTTTCAGTGAACACCCTACAGTTTCTGCTCTTCTTATACATACAGCAGTTAAACAAGGTCTCCCTGAGGACATCTTTGATTGGAGAAGAGTGGCCTAGTCCCAGAAACAGATCTCAGTCTCCTGACTTGACTGAAAAATCCAGTTGCCATAATAAGGTACTGTTTAAATCTTGGTCTTCTTCTTTGAAAGGGACAATTTATGAAGGAGATGATTTGCCTTCATTAAAAATCATGTTGGGATTACTTATGTAAGCGAGTCCTTTGTTGGTGTATTTTGTTTGCCTTTTTCGTTTCTTTTCCTATTATAAAACAAAATAAATATTTGCAATCTTCGTCCAAGTAGAGAAGTACTTTCCATTCGTTCCTTCAGTGACACAAAAATCACATGATTTGGGGACAGATTATTCACTGTACTCTCATTAGCATTCTCGTTTTTGCAAATGTTAATGAATTTGAATCTACTGATTTGACTAAGTTAGGATAAATGAGAAAATGTAGTATTTACAAAGTCTGTTGAAATCTACTGAAAAAATTTCTACAAAAATACCTTTTTATATGTTTAAGTGATGTGCTTTCATATACTTAAGCTCAGCATGCTTGTGTCATATAATGACATATTTATGTCATATGATGTGACAACCTAGAAGTTAAACTTAACTGCCTCACATTGCGAGTTTTAGAAACTGTGTCATTTCTTTTCTCTTTTTCTAAAGAAAACTGAAATGTTTTTACCTGTTTATGTCAAAGTATTCTAAAAAATCTTAAGCAAAACATAGATCTCAGTATGACTGCCATGCACAAGTTCTTTAAAAATGTTCTGAGGCAAACAGCAGCAACAAAAACTTTTCTGATATTTGGTACTTTTATAATCTCCTTTTTCAACTAAACCTATCCACCTGTATGTTGCATGATAAGATTCCTTCTGGTTGTGCTTCTCATTTTTCCTGCTCACTCTTCTTCATGAGCTCCCCACTGGCCCCTACATGCCACTATTCCCCCAGGATTCTGCCTGGGGCAATTTTATCTTCTTGCTAGACATGTTCTTTAAACATAATTCTTCTCATGACTTCACATATCTCAATGACTCCTGAGTTTGTCTTCATCCTAGATTTCCCTCCTCATGTAGGTGTTCTGTCTATACCTGAAATTCAGAATGTTCAAGTCCAGGTGTATTAGCGAGGCCAGTCGTTGTCTGTCTTTCCACATGAATGGGCACCATGTAGAGATGGGGTTTTGAACTAAGGTGGTCTGCATTCAAATTGGCTCTTACATTCAATATCACATGATTTTAGGCAAGTTGGTTAACTTTCCTGGGCCTTGGCTTCTCTTTTGTAAATGGGGATGGTAATGCCTATTTCTGAGTGGTTGTGGGAATTTAGAATACATTAGCGTGAGACTTGTTGCGCAGTAAGCATCAGCAAATGGTGACTCTTAGTTTGTGCTATAGAATGACCTCTCCGAACAACTGATTTAGACCAGATATGGACACATTCATAGGTATGTATTTGAAATTGGTCTGCTTTGAGTGGATGACCCGGCCCAAGCAGTGCCCCCAGAAACTGAAGAAATTACCAGTTTGTGCTGGGTGCTTGAGCTGGGAGCGCAGGTAGCATTGGTACCAGAATAGCCACCATATTCATGGGTGACCTGGAGTTATGAGGGATTAGAAACTCTGAGGTAGTCGGAGAAAAAGACAAGAATGGAACAGACGTGTAGAGATGCTGGCGAGAGAGGACCAGGAGGCTCAAGATGGCCTTCCAGTTGCACTTCTGATGAGACCTACCTATACTTCAGTTTGGGAGATGACTGTGTGTCCCTACAGTAAAATCTCCCTTTACTCGAATTGACTTATATTCCTGAAGCCAGAGAACGTTACCACCAGCTACCAATGCTCATTCTCTTAGCACCCATACCTAGTTTTCTGTCAAGTCTTTCTTATTCTGCCTCGAAATAACTCTGATTTAAAAATCTGTCCCTCTTTGAGTGGCTGGCTCAGTGGGAAGGGTGTATGCAACTCTTGAGCTCAGGGTTGTGAATTCAAGCCCCACATTGGGTGTAGAGTTTACTTTAAAAATAAAATCTTTAAAAATAAGTTCTGTCTCTTTTCTTCCTCTTATATAGGTCATACTGACATTTGGGGGAGGCCTTGATTTCTATAATTAGGTCCTACCTGGTTACCCTGCTTTTAGTCTACCCTCCACCACAGCACTTTCTAAATGCAAAAGGATTCTGTTGGTTTTTGTCAAAACTCCCATCAGTAATTATCATTGTCACTATTGTTTTCATCTCGTGCTCCACGAGATGAGAGCCTGCTGTGGGTGAGGGGGATGCAGTAAGAGGTGAAGAGTGGCCACTCTGCTTTGACATGTTCTGTGGTGTCTCAGTGAGAGTGTATTAAAAAGAAAAATAGGGTTAGCTATTTAGAAAACAGTTTTAAAGTCCCTGGCACACAAGATAAAGCCCAGATGCTTTAGTGTTTTAATAGGCCTTTCATGATTGGTCCCTACTACCAGTTTTCTGAACACAGCAGGTAATGTTACTGCTGTGGATCTTTGCATAAGCTATTCCCTAGGCCTAGAATGCCTTTTTTCCTTGTCTGTTGGCATAACTACCAGCATTAATCAAGAATCTGTCCAAACAGCACTCTGATGATCTTTTTTCCCCAAGAGGGATTCCTTATTCCTCTCAGGCTCATAGCATGTCTTTACAGATCTCTGCTGTAATTCTTATTGTATAATAGTTGCTTGTATTGTCTTTTCACTACTTAGGCTCTGAGTTCTTGAGGATAAGAACTATGTCCTATTTAGTTTGCATAATTTATCACCTAACACTGCTCATACCATATAAGAGATATTCAAAATACATGTCAAATGAATGAGCTAAGTTACTGAGACATCTGCCAACTCAAAGCTTATTCCAAAAGTGGTAACTTCTCTTAGATCTAGCTACTGTAAGGGTAGTTGCATTGTTTCATCCAGTGGAATTTGAAACTCCTCCTGTAATAAGAGGAGGTAAATAAAGAAAGCCCGTGTTTCATGGAATGAATGTCCAAGGTGGCTATTTTTATGTTAGATCTGTAACTTACTTACTAGCCATGTGACCTTGGGCGGGTTTCTTAACCTTTCTGTATCTCCACTTCCTCATTTGTAAAATGGGCATGGTAACGGCATCTATTGCAGGATTCTTGCTAGGATTATTAAATATGTTGAAGTTTGTACAACACTTTGTGGTTGGCGCACACTAAGGTTTAGGTATAATATTACTTTTGAACTAGCTAAGGAAGGGAGAGATTCTGTTTATGCCTATCACATAATATCAAAAAATCATTATAAGGTTTATATTGTTGCCTTAAATGCTTTTTTAGGAGATGAGGCAAAGTAGAAATGCAAAATAACTAAAATATACAATTTTCAGGTCTTATAAAATCTGTTCTATTAAGAGTGCTTTATTTTGATATTTTTTAGAACTGGAATGATTACAGTCACCAAGCATTTGTCTGTGATCATCTGTCAGATCTCCTTGAGCTACTTTTAGATCCAGAACAACTCACTGCATCATTTCATTCGACCCATAATAGTCTAGTCTCTCGCGAAGCTGTTGTGGCCCTCAGCTTTCTTATTGAAGGTACAGTGAGTAGAGCCAGGAAGATATACCCACTTCACGAACTTGCTCTGTGGCAACCACTGCATGCAGAAAGCGGCTTCTCACGGATCTCTAAGACCTTTTCTTTCTACAAGCTGGAAGCCTGGTTGAGAGCCTGTTTGACTGGGAATCCATTTGGTACATCTGCTTGCCTTAAGTCTGGAAAGAAATTGGCTTGGGCTCACCAAGGTATTTTTTTAGTATTTTAATATATGTTAAATTGAATGACAAGGAACCTAATATTCTCTGGTGTATTAATAATGATACATCTTCTATAGACCTACAAAATATTGCTACTATAAGAGAGAAAGAGGGAACTGTTCTCTTTTGTCTATGACTTTTTTTGTCAAGGCAGCAGTAGTCTGAGAGAGTTGATTTCAGAGTCCGGGTCATTCTGGTCACAGTTAATGGAACTCCGGCTTCAGTCATTTGTCTCTTTGCTCTGCTTTTCTCTCTTCTGATCCTTCCTCCCTCGCCTTCTCTTGTGCTCATTTGTTGAGGGCCTTCCTGTTTTCTCCACACCACAGCTGAATTTGACCATTCCACGGTTACAACCTCAGAGAGTTGTTGTAAAAATGGGGTCCTTTTAAGGTACACAGACACAAACAGATGAGACTTTTCTAAATTGGAAATGTCAAGTTAAGGTAGAGAAAATCTGGCCTTGGTTGCTCAGATACCTATTTCTGACAGTCCGGCAATGGCTCACAGGATAGGTTCAGGGGCTGTATGACTTCTGGGGGCCCAGGTATAAGTTTAAAGAGGAGCAGATGCCTACACTGAGACAAATGCCAGGCAAAATTAATGAAAAAAGGGAAAAAACATGAACTATAGTTCCACAATCTCTGAATTTCAGGGATAAAGTAAAAAATAGGTTCCATGTAATTTTAAAAAATCAGTTTTGTGTCAAATTTTTATAATGCTAAAAAACAAAATGATTGAACAATGTCTACACACTCTAAAGCAAAAAGATTGTGATCCAAGAATTCTATATCCAACCAACCTATTGCTCGAGTATGAGGTCACAGACTTCCAGATATCTAAGGGTCCCATAAATATATAGGATACTACATAATTCTTGATGGTGATAAAAGAATATAGGCTCAGGCAAGTTTTTAAATGTTGTTACAGTAGTCCTTAATAGTAAGAAGAGGATATCTAACCTTTTTAGGATTATACCAACATGTTAGCGGAGCTAGATAATAAGATCACAAATAATTTGTATCTTCTTTTACCACTAGTATTTAAAAATTATTTACAAAAGCCATGTATTACTTATTTAATAAAAGGAAGCATTAAGAATTGGTAATTTTTTTTTAAAGTAATAGCATACTTATGTGACCTCTTTGTATTTGACTAGTATTCTTTATGGGATGTCCTGCTGGCTTTCAGAGAGGTACTGTCTTAGAAGCCAATCACATAACGGTGGGACTGTATAAGGAGGGCAACCCCTGCACAGAGTTTTTGAGTGTCAGTTTGTGCAAGGCACTGTGTATGAAAGGAGTTTGTGCTCTCCGTTACTAATGATGTAGGGATCAAAGGCCTGAATCCAAATAGAATTCATGGAATGATGTGGTAAGTAGCTTAGGAGGGGGTTGAAATTAGTATTGTGGTGATGTAAAGAGATTATTTATGGATTGGTATGATAAATTAAAGCAACTTGGAGACGATACTTGAGTTGTTGAGTTGGGCCAGCTCCAGCCACATGACCTTAGGCACATTACTTGAAAGATACACATGGAAAAAAAAAAACAAACCTTAGATCTGTAGGCAGTCTTAATGGACTAGAAGTTTTAAACAATTTTTATCACAGAAAATTATGAAATATTGCAAACATACAGAAAACACAGAGAACAGTATAGCAAATACCTCTTTACCCAATGTCCAGATCGAACATTTTTCCAAAGCTTACTTGTATCTGATTTTAGACACTTACACACATAGGCATATGTAATCTCATATGGTTGTTTGTTTTTCTTTTATTGAGACTTACCTCATTTATTTCTATTTTTCTTAAATAGTTGAAGGGACGACCAAAAGAGCTAAGATTGCTTGTAATACACACGTGGCCCCTCGGATGCACCGCATGGTGGTGATGAGCCAGGTTTACAAGCAGACCTTGGCCAAGAGCTCAGATACTCTGGTGGGGGCACACGTGAAAATTCATCGTTGCAACGAATCTTTTATATATCTGCTCTCTCCCTTACGGTAAGCATGGTTCTGATATTTTGATTTTTTTCTTTGAACTGGGATTGATCCTCTTTTGCCATCAGAGAATAATTTTGTAGTCAGCTGTTCTTTTAATCTTACTCTCATTCAGAGGAATTTACCTCATTTTTTTCATTTTTCAGATCTGTGACCATCGAGAAATGCCGGAATAGCACCTTCGTGTTGGGCCCTGTACAGACTGCTCTTCACCTCCACAGCTGTGACAACGTTAAAGTCATTGCTATTTGCCATCGTTTGTCCATCTCTTCTACAACAGGCTGCACCTTTCACATTCTGACGCCTACACGCCCCCTTATTCTCTCTGGAAACCAGGCAGTAACTTTTGCCCCTTTTCATACCCATTATCCAATGCTGGAGGATCACATGGCCAGGACTGGCCTCGCTACGGTGCCTAACTATTGGGATAATCCAATGATTGTGTGCAGAGAAAACTGCGACACAAGTGTCTTCCGACTCTTACCACCTTGTGAATTCTATGTATTTATTATCCCCTTTGAAATGGAAGGGGACACAACAGAGATACCTGGGGGTCTTCCGTCTGCATATCAGAAAGCACTGGGTCAAAGAGATCAGAAGATACAAATCTGGCAGAAAACTGTGAAGGAGGCTCGTTTGACAAAGTGAGTGTTTCCTAGAGAAGAATTTGTCTTATGTAAAACTCCATGAGAAAACAAATTAATCTGTACATGTGTACAGCTGCACTAAAGTAATAAAAAAGATGTAATGTGTCTTTTGTTAAGGTCAGTATTCCAGGCTTTTTGGTTGGGGGATGGGAGCAAGTAGATATTCAAGAATTAGACTCCCTTCTTTTTGGAAGCTTTAGTTGATAGTTAACTTATGTGTATGAAAGATCATATGTAGAACATGCCACATGATCCAATACTTATATGAACTGGTTTTAGTTTTTAATTCTCTAAACTGTATCATTGGTTCTCAACTTTGGTTGTGCAACAGTCTTCCAAGAGGCTTGTTCAAAATATGGATTTCCTGACTCCTCCATACCATAGACAGACTCTCCGAGGGCGGATTCCTAATGCTGCTCCATGGACTAATGCTAGTTCTTGTCCAAGTTTTCCCTAATCCATGGTAAAATGTGAAAAATAAGTACAGTGTTGTAAAACAAAGCTAAATTTAGTCCGCTTAAAATGTTGTTTTTTATTCTGAAATTATATCCTTCCTAAACTTGGGGTGCTAAAATATCTTATTTCTAGATTACATGCTTATGATAGTAGATGGTTGTGGTTTATTGCATTCACCACAATATTTTATCTCAAGGGTACTGGTCTTTCAACTCTAGAACCCAGGGACATGCTATACCTTTAATAGAGGTTCAGGAAACATCAGTGTGGGTGGTCAGGGATGATTTATAGAAGTAGAATTTGTGTTGGACCTGGAAGAATTAGCAGTGTTTGGATAGGAGCTGAGGACTGGACAGAATACTTTTATGGTGCATCTGACCAATCTTTTTTTTCCTTTGGGGTGGGAGGGGTGGCGGTGTTACAATGTCAAGAACTGAACAGAGCAGTTATCTGGAGGGAATAAATGGAGAACTAGAAATAATTTTAATGTCTATCCCATTAAAGTACTTTATAATCACCTGGAATAAAATGAACATGAATTAGTGTTCTTACATTCTTTTTGCTCTTGATGGTGCTTTTAGGGATCAAAGGAAGCAGTTCCAGGTACTTGTGGAGAATAAGTTTTATGAGTGGTTGACTAACACGGGACATCGCCAACAGCTGGACAGTCTTGTGCCCCCTGCTGCCGGCTCCAAACAAGCAGCAGGATAAGACACCTACGTGGAAACACTGGTGGGCATTTATAATGTAGACCACTTAGAACAAATTATCTTGGGAAAATCTTACAAGCATGCTGCAGAATATGATGTTACTGGCCACTGCCTCTTTTTCTCTGCCAGGCCCACTAGCATATACAGACTTTTACATACCCATTTTTACCACATCTTATAGTGAAGACCAACCAAACTATTCCATAGGTGGAGCTTATGGAATAATGGGCAAATATTAACAGCCAAGTTTTGTCTTCTTTGCTTCTTACCTAGTATAGGTTGTACTGTTCAAAGATACTACTTTCCCCATACATAGCTTTCAGTTGTATTTCCCCTTTCTAACACATCTCTCGTCTTTCCCATCACCCACACAGAAATCAATTAACTGATATTTGTTAATTACACATAACATTAATAAATTACCAGAATTAATCCAAATGAAGATTTGAATACTGAACACTAGAAGATCACAGATCCTATAGAAGAGAGCATGGATACCGACAAATTCATTAGAAGTCCTTTAATCTAAATAAAAAATATTCTCTTTTTTAATACAGAAATTAGTTTACTTTTCTATTTTGAAGACTTATTAAAGACTAACCATACGAAAACAGATAAAGGATTTCAAATAGTTCACAGACAAATACAAACACAAAGATATCTTTACTTACAATTAATGTAAGGTACTGTTTTTCTTCTATCAGATTGGCAAGGATCAAAAGCTGGTATATAACACTGGTAAGGTATTTTGTTTACCACTGGAAAAAGTGTACATTTGTACAACATCTTTGGAGGATAGTTTGACAAAATGAAAATTGTAAATGCACACATTCTTTGACTTAGCAATTTCACTTCTTAGAATTTATCTTATAGATACACCCATGTATGTAAAGATCTGTTTAAAAAATATGTTCATTGCAGCATTGTTTAAAATAGCTATAGACTAGAAACAACCCAAGTGCTTTCCAGTAGACAGCTGGTGCCTAATGCATTGGTTCCTCTATGTTAAAGAATGCATCTTTAAAAAGAATGAGGTCTATCTGTAGGTGAGATAGTAAATCTCTAAGCTGGGGATTTGGAGGGGTGAAGGCAGAAGAGGAGGAGTAAAATACCGCCTTGTCTGTTTGGAAAAAAAAGAGGGGTTATCACATGGCTGTATGCTAATTATATGCCTTAAAAACTTCTAAAAGGACATAAATCATTGAAAGTGTTTGCCTTTGAGAAAGGAGACTAGATGTCTAGGGTGATTGAAAACTTATTCTTAATTTTTATTGATGCAGAATTTACATACCATGAAATTCAGTGACTTTTATTAACATAGTGGCAAGTTTGTACAACCTTCACCACTAACAAATTCAGAATATTTTCATCACCCTAAAAACAAAGCCCATACACATGGACAGTCACTCTTCATTTCTCAACCCCCAGTATCTTCTCTTTTCTCTAGTCCCTGGCAAACACTAATCTACTTTTTGTCTCTTGATTTGTCAACTCTGGACATTTCCTATAAATGGAATCTTTGGACATGTGGCCTTTGTGCCTGGCTTCTTTCGCTTAACATCATGGTCTTAGGGTCATCGATGTTGTAGCATGTGTCAGTACGTCCTTCCTTTTTATGGCTGGGTAGTATTCCATTGTATGGATATACCACACTTATCTGTTCATCAGTTGATCTGAGATTTGAGCTGTTTCCCCTTTTCAGTTGTTTTCACTTTTATTGTGAATAATGTTGTTATGTACTTTAGTGTACAAGTTTTTGTGTAGACATATGTTTTCAATTCTCTGGGTACATACCTAGGAATAGAGTTGCAAGTTTATAGGTTTAACTTTTTGAGGAAATGCTGAACTGTTTTCCAAAACTGTAAAAACTTATTCTTGTTTATAGATTGTTTGCATTTTAAATTGTGTATTACTTATTACACACAAAAAAAGTTCATAATACTTAGTAAATGCTGAGATTAAGAATCAGGAATCTGATGAGGATTAAAATCCAAAGGAAATGAAAACTATAAGAAGGTGAAATTTTAGTTGAGGCCTACCCTGAATAGCCTGCTACTTTTTCATGTCTTTTCTTCTATTATGAACTAAAGTGACCTTCAGAAAGAAAGAATATAATTAATCTTAAACCTTATGTATTTAGCACTTTAAACTCTCACCTGACCTTGATTTACATGATTTTGTAAATAGAAGTTTTTTTCTTACTATTTGCATGAAGGCAATAGAAAATTAAGTTACTAATATTTTTCTCTTGTTATTTTCAGGGTCCTGGAAACAGGAGGGTGAATGGAAGATGGTACATGTCTTCAAACTCAATTGGGAAGATGCTCTTGCTGCTTGAGAGACATTGCAGTTTTTTCCTTCCTATTTAAGACCGTTCCTTGATTTCCATTCCATACTGCTATATTACTGCTTGGGTCAAATTTTAGATGAACTTCTGACTATCTATCCTATAAACAAATGTATTGTTTATAGAACATCAGAAAGCTCATCTTTGTGTTGCCAAAATGAAGTTGATGAAGGCAGTTTCGTTGTATGTTAATATTGAAGTAACGGATTGTAGATTTGCAAGTAAATTTCACATTTTAATTTATATGATGAAAGGGTCTCATCCTTTCTATAGTTAAATAAGAATTTTATAGTTCTTTGAAACTATTTAAAAGGAAATTGCTACTCCTTTTAAAAATAATTGGAATGAAAGTATAGTTTGTTGGTGTATAAATATAGCAGAAATAGTTTTATACAAAGATATTTTAGTCCTTAAAAGTATGAAGCAATGAAATTGTGTAAATTCTTTATTTTTCATTTTCTGCTTCACATTTTCAATAAGCAAACTCTAAAAAGTAATTTTCTCCTTTTGATAAAAAGATAGAGATTTAATTTTAGAAAAAGTTTTATGGGGGGAGGAAAGAATTTTTCCTCTATCCTAGGTTCTTTAGGCTTTAGTCTATTAATTAAATCGACATAAGACAGATTAACAGGAGGCAAACTATTTTAGTTAGATATCTGTGGGCGCCTCATAAGAATATGAGTCCCAGGAACAAGTCAGGCAGTTGGCTTGTATGTCACCCTGACCTAAGTAATGGAATATAGGCCCAGGGCTTCAGAGGGGAGGAGAGTAGTTCACAGTACGTTAAGAAGAGCAGATGTGTGGCAGTTAGATGTTTGCCTTGTCATACAAATGGCTCATTCAGATTAAAACTTCCCTGTGGTAATAGCTTTCCTTCTGGGCCAGGCCCCCTATCTGAATTATTTTAGGTAGTTAAGGGAACTTTTTCTTGAATTTGCAGGGTCTTCATCACCTTTACCTCAAAATAATTCACATACTAAAGGAGCACATTTTGGGGTCATGTTTTCTCCCTCTCGGTTACCAATGTCACTTCGTGATGTTATAGCAAAATAAAGTTTACATTTGATTGGGGAAGCTGTATTCTTTAAGATAAAGGAAAAAGAATTATTAAGTTATTAAATAATTATTAAATTGTTAAATGAATCCTCTGATAAACATTGTTTTGTATGCTCAGTGGTCATTGAAGTAGTAATTATATTAAAAAAGGGCTTGATCTAAAATGAAAAATTCTCAGAATATGTGTTAATTCTAATTGAGATTTTCAGTTTTTATTTTAAGATGAAATTCAAGAGAGAATTCAATAAAGAAACACTGGAGTAATAGAAGTGTATTTTGGAAATTGCTATTAGTTAACAAAATTAATGGTATCACTTCGATACTTTCTTTCCTATTTACTGAATTCAGGAAGATAAGCATATAACATTGTTTCTCAATAATCTTCCTATCAAGGCACATTTACCATTTTTTGAATTAACCATAATTTATCTTGGGAGAATCCCATTTGTTGGATGGCTTTATTCACGAAAACATGAGGAAGATGGACTTTTAAGAAGAGTGTACTTGACCAGGAAAATGAAAATAGAGAATGATTGACTTGTTTTTTTTTAATTTACATAAAATGTAATCTCATTCCAAAAGTCAGATGGTATAGGTGCCAAGAAACGTCCTCTGAACAGGTTCCCATTGAATATCATGGCAGAAAAATGCCACCAACCAGGCGGCAAGCTGAGCTTAGCTCAACCTTGGCAGGACCGTGATTCTCAGGGTAGCTTTCTGTCCCTCAGGCTGCATCTGTAGAGCCCTTTCTTGTGGATCAGAACTTGTGTGTGTGTCCTGAAAATTTTCAAACTTAAAGAACAGTTGCAAGAATCTGAATCCCCACATATGCCTCGTCTAGCTTTACCACTTACTAACATGCCATACATTCACTTTACCACTCTGGATAGTAATAGTATTTTTGCTCAGCAATTTGAGAGTAGGTTGCAGACATCTTAAACCTTTACTCCTAAAGACATTAGCATGCATTTCCTAAAAATAAAGACATTCTCTTCTGTAGTTGTACAAATTACTAAATTGACAAATTCAGGAAATCTCACAAAAGTACCATATACAGTCCAGATTAAAATTTTTGCTAATCCTCTCAGAAATGTCCTTTGTAGTGACATTTTCCAAACATAAGATCATGCATTGTGTTTAGTAGTCATTACATTTTGTTGCTTTGGAACATGTTGCTTCTGTTCAGAATTAGAGGGTGGCTTTTTGACTCTCCCATAAGCTCTATTGAAGAAAAAAGACACTGGGGATTTCAAGGTGGTAGCTTGCTAGAAAACCAAATTGCCCAGGTAAGGGGGACATTTTTGTTTTTAACTTTGAAAACTTTGGCTGGGTTTTGGTGCCTTGACTCAGCAAAGTCTACAATACAGCAAAGCTTGGTAAGCATTAGAAGGGGTACTGAAGCTTTCCTTTATTTCATAATCCCAATTGTTTTTCTAGAAACCATCAATAGCCTCTAAATGACTGACTCAATTTTTGGATCCTATTCTCATGACTAAGCAAATGTTTGATTTGAAACCAGCCCAGTATAAATGTCTCTGTGCCTCTAACTCTCTGTAGCTATTCCGGATTCCAGCACTGGGGAAACCAGTCTATGCACCAAAATGTCTAAGTCTGGAACCAAGGTAAGTAAGTGGTCACACTCGGTAGCCTACCACTTTCTTTTCCTTTGTACCTTTCTTTTCCAGTGTTCCCTTTCTTTCGGAATATTTCCTCTTTTCCAATGTACGTAAAGATACGTTGAAAGGAATGTGGAGAAAAGCTTTTGCTTCTTTGCCTGGAGGTGAGTATGACAGTGGTTTTGAATGCTGGGACTGGGGGAGAGAAGATGAAGAAATGCTCATTATATTTTTTACTCTAACAGAATTCCCCAACAAATTATTAAGGGTTTATCTTTGTGTTGGGGGTGGGGGGCGATATTCAATACTGTGCAGGTATATATCAGTTAAATATCATCATGATTTCTGCCTTCTGGCAACCAATTTCCCCAGAAATAGGACATGCTAATAATAGAATAGAATAGAAAACTTTTAGTATTTAGTTAAAAACTGCTCTGTAAGGTTGTCTGGTTGGTTTAGTCAGTAGAGCATGTAGCTCTTGATCTCAGAGATTTAAGTTTGAGTGAGGCCCATGTTGGGTGTAGAGGTTACTTAAAATCTTTAAAAAAATTGCTCTGTAAAAGTTAACCTCAACCAGTAATGTTCTAAAAAATCAATCAAGGGAATTAAATCCTACATATCCACTTCATTCAAGCAGCTACTCTTACCAATTTCCTGAAATAAAGTGCTTACTTACATTAGGAAAATTGCCTCTCAAATATTTGATTTACAGTTGTTGGTCTGGAAATTGATCTCTTACACTGGCTTTAGCAATGAAGGGATCTATGCCTGATTTCCACACCCGCCCCCTGCCAATTCTTTTCTTTGAAAAGTTTCAAACCCGTTAAATCTTAAAAGAATAAGAAAGAGGGGCGCCTGGGTGGCTCAGTGGGTTAAAGCCTCTGCCTTCAGCTCAGGTCATGATCCCAGGGTCCTGGGATCGAGCCCCGCATTGGGCTCTCTGCTCAGCAGGGAGCCTGCTTCCTCCTCTCTCTCTCTGCCTGCCTCTCTGCCTACTTGTGATCTCCGTCTGTCAAATAAATAAACAAAATCTTAAAAAAAAAAAAAAGAAAAATGTTGAATAAATACTTCCATATCCCTCACTTACATTCTTTAGTTGTTAGCATTTTGCTATATATTGGGTCTCTGTCTCTCTCTCTCTCTGTACTAAACCATTTGGCAGTAAATAGACAATTCTTTTGCCGTATTTAGGCATGTATTTTCAATAAACATACTATCATTATCTTGTCCCCCAAATTTACAATAAATACAATACCTAATATTCAGACCATATTCAAATTTCCCCCAATCGCTTCCCCAAATGTGCTTCATGGCTGGCTTTCACCCTGATACAGGATCCCATCAAGGATCATGCATTACCCTTGGTTGCCATGTTCTTTAACCATTTTTTCCTTTAGCCTCTTTTATATGGAGCAGTCGCCCTACCTTTTTCTTGTTGTTGTTTGAGACATTAACATTTTTCAAAGGCCAGACCAGGTGTCTTGCAGAAAGTCCTGAAATCTGCATTTGCCTGATTGTTTCCTCATGTTTAGATTCAGACTAACCATCTTTGGCCAGAAAGTTACATAGGCAATATCAAGTATTTCCCATCACATCATGTCAGGAGGTACCTGTTAAATTCTTCCAGAATTGGTAGTGCCTGATTTTTTTTTTCCACTTGGAAAATAAAACTAATAATGATACTTGTCATCTAAAAGATTTCAGGAGAAAAATGAGACAGTGTCTATAGTGCTCTGAGGTTCTTGAAAGTATGCCGTGAAAATCCCACTGAAAAGAGTAGTAAATCCTTAGATGAGTATCCGTGTGCCTTGAGGAAAGACTACAGAACCCTCTTTGGGGCGCCTGGGTGGCTCAGCCAGTTAAGTGTCTGCCTTTGGCTCCAGTCATGATTCCAGGGTCCTGGGATCAAGCCCCGTGCTGGGCTCCCTGCTTAGTGGGGAGTCTCCCTGTCCCTCTTCCTCTGCCCGCCCCCCGCCCCTGCTTATGTGATCTCTCTTTCTCTTTTTCTTTCTCTCAAATAAATAACAAAATCTTAAAAAAGAAAACCCTCTTAGATGAAAATACCCCTGCTTTCAAAGAGTTCCAGAACAGTAATAATGTGCTTTCTTATTTCTTAGAGCTGCGTTGTTCACGGTGGTTAGCTAACTTGCTTGCTAGACCCAAAGATCAAGTTAATCTCTTTCTCTATTGCTTCTCCCTTTCCCTCTATCATACTAGCAATCTAATCAGAGTTATGGGCTTGGCAAAAACAATGCATTTTTTACCAAATTTGGTTTTGTTACCTGGAATACAAAACATTTTTCTTTCTGCTATACTGGATTAATGGGCTATTTTTTCAAAAACTAAATGAAAATAAGAGGAATTTTGTAATAATTTCTAGGCAATCTCCAGCACTATTTCTTAGCCTTCTCTACAGATTTTTTTTTGTCCAAGAATCTCAGCTCACTATAGAGGAGATTTCATGGTCCTTCTGCAAATGGAAATTGAGTAGAAGTACAACATTCTCTGGGCTCTGAGATTTGGAAGGTCTCCCACTGAAAGGAGAGCTTGATTCATGGAGCTCAGTCCGTGGCAACACAGTACTTTGTTTCAACCCTGGGATGGTTGGTTAGTCTGCTGAAAGGGTGGCCAGCAAGGCGACCTTATAGAACATTGTGTATATTTCCACTCTCAGATTCAGATGTCAGCCAGGCAAATGTGCATAGGGCACTAAGTATGGGAGACATTCAAGTAAAAAAGATACTAACTTTATTGCCTATGGCATATCCCTTGCAAAGTTTCTTTTTTTGGTGACTAATTGGCCAAAAACCAAAAGTAAATTAAATTAAAGTTAAATTAAGGAGTTTAGAATCTATTCATTCTTAGTGAAGTTACCTTAGTTTTTCTAAACATCTTTCCACAGGCTTTGGGGAAAGCTTCCCAGACTCAGAATCAATCTCGTTCCATTACTAGGAGAGTAAATGGTGTTTGTGAAACAGAGCTAGCTGTGCAGGGGGGGAAGACAGCAAAAGGAGAGAAGATAAAATGAATCACAAGTCACTGACCAGGACTTTTGCACAGCAGTCCACTCACTTGCCTGCAACGGACTCGTAACTAGCTACTGACCTTAGGCGAGTCATTTAACTTCTTCATCTGTAGCCACAGTAGCAAAAGTCTATTGGCAATGATGAACCCAATTAAACTAAGTGCTTTATTGGTATTATCCCTTCTCAGAACAGCCCTCTGGAGTGCATGTTGTTACCCAGGTTTACAAATGAAGAGCCTGAGCTTTGGAGAGTGGTTCAGTGGCCTATCCAAGGTCCCAGAGATAGTGACTGGTGGGTGCTGCAATTTTGTTTTCATCAGTAGACTGAGACGCCATGTACCTCTCAGTCTGCTATGCTGAAATGGAGGAAGTGGAGGTGGAAGAGAAATTTGGGAGAGGACAAAAGGAAATGGAGTCAATGATTTAGGGGTGAGAAGGGGTCGGGAAGCTCATAAGGAACAGAAAACAAGAGGGGAGAGAGACAGGAAGGGTAGATTAAGGTGGCAGGCAATACCCATCAGTAGGCTATGATCTAGAAAGTCTCTCCTGGGGTAGAAAACACTGAGGTTTTATGGCCTTTTGAAAGTCATTCTTGGTTTCTGACTCTCCATCATTCCTTACATCTCATCAGTCACCAAATCCCCGGTTCCATTTGACTGTTTGTTCCCTCCGTGTCACCAGCTAGCAGTTGCCATTTGGCTGGCCTGCACCACCTCTCACCACACTCACGGCAACCACCTGCTTCCACGCATACCAACCAAAGGGATTCTAGCATGGCATCCATGATTTCTGGATACTTCACCACGTACTCTATATGCGCCAAGCTTGAACTACTTGTCCCTATGGTGGGCCATGTTCTTTTATTCCTTGCATAGGCAATCCTTTTTTCTTTTTCCCCGGAAACCCCCTCCTTATCCTTCAATCTTCACCTCAAAAATCCTCTCAAGACTACCTGGCTCTACTCCTTTCCTATGAAATGCTTGACCTGGTTTTCTTCTTCTAAACCAATAACGCCAATTAGCCACAAGGTGGCAGCATAACGCTAGGGAATTAACTGCTTGACTCGATGGCACCTGTTCTTTCCCTTTCGATTGTAAACTCCATTTATCTTGGATTGTGGAACTGTAGAACAAGAAGGGGCAAACTCTACGGTCCATTTGGCCTGGTGGTTTTCAGAAGCTGCGTTAAGAAGCCCCAGGAGCGCCTAGGAACTCTATCTCCTGCTGCAAACAGGAACGTTTAATTTTTACACCCAGGCCTTCAATCTAGTGTAGTCCTTCATCTGACAAGTGGGAAGCAGGAGCCCAGAGAGGCAGCTTGCCTGAGCTAGTGAGTCTGACTGTAGAGATGCAGCTCAAGAGCCCAGGTTTATAATTTCCCAGTTCTTGGAGCTGCACACTGCCGTGCCATCAGCGGTCTCAGGCTTACCCCACAGGTTGTGGGGGGGACCTTGGGAAAGTTTGAGGAAAAGAACATTCTTGACTTGCCATTTTGTTGCCTTGTAACTACTCTGTTGGCAATAAATTAATAACACAGAGCTTAAAATATTGTCATGCATATGCTCTATATCCATCTGAGATAAGCTCCCTAAAGCTAAGGTCTATTTTACTTTTCTCTGTATATCTTCATATCACCTAGAGTGAATGTCTGCATTTGGAACTCTTTCATCTTCATGCAACACTGATTGAGGGTTTGTCCAGTGCTGGGTGCAGGGTTCCATAGCTTAAATAAGGCTTGGTCCTTGCCCCTGGAAAAAGTCTAGTAAGAGTCTGAAGAGAGAGAGAGATGTAAGTGGATAATTTATTTTCTTATGCGATGAGTACCGTGAGTTAGGGGAACAAAGAGGAGGAAGCCATGAACTTGGGTCTGGCTTATCTTAGGGCACTCTTTTATTTTGCTTCGTTTTAAGCCTTCAGAAAGTTCTCCTTCCTGTTGTTGACCGCTAAAGTCGTCTGCCGGAAGGTAGGTGTTGGGAGGTGAGGTAGAACTCCGTATTTCCTCCTCAACATCGAAGAGAAAGGAATTTCCAAAGTGGGGACTATGTTCTTGGTCTTTAGTTTTTTAGGAATAAAGCTGCCCAACTCCCCGGTTCCTCTCTTTATTCCCCTCGCACTTCAGATCACTTTCTATGAGGACAAGCACTTTCAAGGCCGCCACTATGACTGTGACTGCGACTGTGCCGATTTCCACATGTACCTGAGTCGCTGCAACTCCATTCGAGTGGAGGGAGGCACCTGGGCCGTGTACGAAAGGCCCAACTTCGCGGGCTCCATGTACATCCTGCCTCGGGGCGAGTACCCCGAGTACCAGCACTGGATGGGCCTCAACGACCGCCTCAGCTCCTGCCGAGCTGTTCACCTGGTGAGCCTGGGCTGCGCCACCCCGCCTGCTCGCTCCCGGCTCGCCTGCTGCTGCTCTCTCCGTCTCTCTCGCCCCTGCTACCCCGCTTCCTTTTTTTTTTTTTTTTTAACATTCATGTGGAAGCATTTTCTTAACATTTTCCTACCCTTTAATGGCATGTTTTCTTCTGTTGGCTGCTGAGGCTTGCATAAAACCTAGGGTGAGTTCATCACAAGACTGAGTACATGAATTATTTCCAGAACACTCTCTCTACCTCTTGAGTGCTTTAAGGCATCAAGTTTTTCCCACCGAAGGTCAGCTGTTTCAGTCAGTACGCAGCGGGGATGGGAGATCAGACCCTCTGGCTTTCAAGATGGTGGGCTCCCAACCACGCTGTTCTCAGAGTTCTTGACGTGTTGGTGATTTCCATAATCATCGTAGTTTATTTCCTCCTGTGTTTTTCCAGTCTAGTGGAGGCCAGTATAAGATTCAGATCTTCGAGAAAGGAGATTTTAATGGTCAGATGTACGAAACCACTGAAGATTGCCCTTCTATCATGGAGCAATTTCACATGCGAGAGGTGCACTCCAGTAAGGTGCTGGATGGCGTCTGGATTTTCTACGAGCTACCCAACTACCGCGGCAGGCAGTACCTCCTGGACAAGAAGGAGTACCGGAAGCCCATCGATTGGGGTGCAGCTTCCCCAGCTGTGCAGTCTTTCCGCCGCATTGTGGAGTAATGACGTGGAGGGGGCCACAAGCTTCTCCCGGGGGGCCACGTGCTGGCCAGCCTTGTCACCCAAATAGGCATCATAAATAAAACAATTGGCATGCATTCCACTGTTGACTATATGCCTCTCCTTAAACAGTCTTAGGGACCAGTAAAACAGTGCCCACTGCTGTAGGCAGTTACACAAAGCCGCTCATCCTTCAGATGGCCAGTCTATAACTTTGTGCCAAACAGAATGGCACCGCATTGAAAGACGAGAAAATCATACTGCCCTGTGGTGGTTCTCATCCCTTGAGTCTGGTATAGATTCAACAGGTACAATAATAATAGCTACTGCCTCTTGTGTGCCTTCATTATCCCATTTTCTCTTTACAACAACTCTGTAGGAGAGGTGGTTTCTTTGCATTTTACAAATAAGAAAACAGAGGCTTAGAGAAACTAAGAACTTGCCCAAGTTCACCAGCTGGTGATCGGAGGAACGAGGTCCAGGATATTTGTTTCCATAGCCCCTGTTCTTTTCCCTTCATTTCCAACTCATTCATTCAACACCCGCTGGCTGGGGGTTTATGTGCATAATGGAAGTACGGGACCCTGAGAAATTTAAGAGGTGGAAAGTGCAGGGTCCCCAGAATTTCTCATGGAGGAGACAGAATACGTATCAAGAATGGACAGTGAGGGGCGCCTGGGTGGCTCAGTTGTTGCCACTGAGTCAAAGACATCTGCCTTTGGCTCAGGTCATGATCCCAGGGTCCTGGGATCGAGCCCCACAGCGGGCTCCCTGCTCAGCAGAAAGCCTGCTTCTTCCTCTCCCTCTGCTGTTCCCCATGCTGTGCTCTCTCTGTCAAATAAATAAATAAAATATTTTTTTTAAAAAGTGGACAATGAAAACAGAGCCATCATTTGGGAAAACGGTGGAGCCATAAGTCACCTGAAGGCCTTTGTTTAAGATCCAGAAGTTGCTGGGTCAGTGACCTCTCAACTTTAAACTCAGTCTTTCTGTAAAAAGCACAAATCAAATAATTTGTCCCAACTTTACGACAGTTGAAATGGAGTTTTACTGAGTTTTACTCACTTTGAGCAACCCCTGAGATTTTTCTCTGTTTAATCTTGATGAAGAGGAGAATGGTGAAGGAAACCCAGTGTCATTAGGAATACTTAGCATCTGAGTCAACCTGGGAATGTTCTGGATGTGTCTGTCTTTAAGAGAGAGGGCAGAGCCCAGGTCTCCTAGGAGTTTTTCCAGAGAAGGACAAATTGGAACTGCTAAGGATATTCCCTTTGTGTGCATCTGTCCATACACTAGTGTGTCATGCTTTCTCTCCCCCAAATATTTTTATTCATTTTGTTAACTTCCCCTGCCTTTTGTCATTTTGTTGGTTTTGAGTGAGGGACCTTGAGAGATTTGAGTAAAAGTAAAAGGGAGGGAGACAGGATGAACCATAAATGAAGAATGGGAGGCCACCCACTGAACCACAAAGCTCTGGGCCTCATCACCCTACCATGAAGAGCACTTGCTTTATCTCCAAAATGGGGGCGTTAAACCAAAGGCTCACTCAAGTCACACCGAACATAAACATCCTAATTCCTCGGAGGTCAGGAGGAGGGTGCAGAAAGGCTAGCTGATGACTGAAGACTCCTGACACTTTCAGCGGCACAATTTCTGGAACTGACCTCAGAGATCTTGTACCTCCTTTTCTGCAGAAGAAACTGAGGCCATGGTAACTGTGCACTAGGGCCAGCCTCTGCTCTCCTATCAACTGTTGCCATGTTCCAGGCCCTGAGAAGTCGGTCACGGTCTGTTCAAAACAACCAGAAACCCAGTGCTGGCAGCAGGATAGGAAAACAAGTGTCAGGATGACTTACCCCAGTCTCGGAGAAGTAGAAGATGGCTTTTGACAGATAAACTAGAATCATCATTTGGGGATGTTACATGCCTCTGGGTTCATGCCCCGATCCAGAAAGGGATGGCCACCATTCTCCCCGGTTACAGGCACGTCAATCAACTTGCACTTAACAAGCATTTTACTTGCAATTGATATTTGAGGTCAAAACCCCTTTATGCCCTTATCTATCAATCAGTCCCAGTTCTGGTAGAACATTCTGCTGTTCCAGCACAAGCCAGCGTCCCACCTGTCACGCACACCAGAATAGCACCCGGGGTTGTTATTTAGAATTATTATCTCCCTCTAGCTTTTATTGTTTTATCTCTCTGAAATGGGAGATCTCAAGAAAATAAGGCCATTTAGACCATTTTAGCCCTGTTTCATTCTCTAGCATTCCTCTGAGACAAGTCTTTGAATATTTCCCAAATATAGAACATGCTTCCTCAAAATGCAGCATCTGGGGCTCCTAGTTCAGGCCTCCAGGGTAGGGCTGCCAGATTGAATGTGGGACAATATTAGTAAATCACAAGTACTGGGACATAACTAACTATAGACACAGCACAAGTATATCCCAAGTACTGCATGGGACATATTTACATGAAAAGGGATTTGTCATTTGTCTGAAACAAATTTAACTGCGCATGCTGTATTTTTATTTGCTGAATCAGTCAACCCGATACTCGAAGGGCAAGTCAAGATGCACGTGAGTGATAGGGAGTGGCACAGGCTCTGGAAGCTGGAGACACACATCCCACAGCAGGGCGCTGAAATCCAATTTTTCAGAAATGCTGTGAACCAACACAGTGTGTCTGCAGCCGGATTGAGCCTAGGGACCACCAGTCCCCAATCTTGCCCTCTTGGAGAGCTCTGAGGATCAGAAAACAGTGCTCACCCTGAGTCACAACCTGCTCCTTGTAACTCTGAACCTGCTTTCCTTCCAGTTCTCAATCCCAAGAGAGCCCTCGAGGTATTTCAAGATCCCTCCTGCAGGTCCCCACACTCTCATTTCTAAGCTGAACAATTCCTGTCCCCGCCACTGCTTCTCTCTGTGTGTGGTTGGCACCCACACCCCTCATTCTGGTGTCTCTCTTCTGTGCTGGTTGCAGATGGATCTTTTCCCCACTGACCAGACTACATCTGGAGGATCGTGTCCAGGTCTTTCCCCTTCCTTTCTCAGATAGGCCCTGTCCTTGACTTCCGCTCAGCTCTCCGGAGGCCCTCCCACAAGCCTTGATACAGGCCTGGGCAGCCTTTTCTAAGAACTGGCATTCCGGCTCCTGGGCTAGAGAGTTCCTTCCCTCCCTGGAGAGTGAGAGAGAAATGGATTCAAATCCCCCCACTTCCACATGGGAGCTCTAAGTCCATTAATATGGATAACCTCAACTTCCTTACCTGTAGTGCAGACAGAACGTGCATTAAAAACACAGAGTGTGTGTGGCCACTGCTCGTGCTCACAGTAGCTGTGGTCTTGAGCCCTGGACAGCAGAGAGAACTTTCTGGAGAAAATACAGGGTTAGGTGCCCGGGAACTTCTGGTCACAGCGTTTTTGTCACCTAATTTGATGTAGATTGTTGATGCCTTAGTATCCAGGCCCGAATGAAGATTAACAAAGAGCTTCTCTCCGTGGGGCATGGGGCAGCTTTCTGAGGAAAGGTTGCTCCAGAAGACCAGAGGGCATGTCAAGGCTACACCTGTGAAATCACCAACCAAGAGGGAGACAAGGCAGAAAACACAGCGCTGTGTAGACGGCAATAAAACCAAACCAAACAAAAACACTTGTTGACAGGAGGAGAGCTGAAACCAGAAGGCTTCGTTTGGCCTCAGCTGAGAACACAAGCCCAGAGTGACTCAAATTTTTTGCTGCCCAGCTCATGTCCTTGAATGTCCTCCGAAGTACCATGAGGAGCGATTTTGGAAGTAACAGTAAATTTTAGTGAATGGGCAAATTCCTAAATCCAGAACTTGTACTTTACCATTATGGTTGGCCTGTTAATACCGTTTTCTTAGTAGTATTTAAGTACCTCTATTACCAAATTGTGTGGGGTTTTTTGCTTTGTGTTTTACTTGTCTAGCTTTTTTTATTCCTCTTTCTATCTTCCAGTCGTTTTCAGAAAAGCATCTCTGCATTTTTGGCAGATGTTTCAGAGCTGGGAGGGCATACATCGGAACCATCCAACCCATCCCACTGTCTTGAAATAGAGCGATGTTTCTATGGGAGTCTGGCCTCCTCTTCACTCTCTCATTTGCCTCACTCCCCCCAGCTTCCAAGGGCAGCAAGAGTTGTCCCTAGAACTCCCACAAATCCCCTGCTTTCTAACTTCCCTCTTATCTGGGGACATGACAGGGGGCAGCAAATCCCCAAATCCCCCATCCGGCTGACCAGCCTGCGGTCCGCACAGGAGAGAAGGATCCCTGGTGGGTGGGTGTGACTTCAATGCAAGGCGAACCTCTCTGTCCACAGACAGACACTGCCCACCTCTTCCTCTTCACTCAAGCCCCCTGCATCAAAATCAGGCAATGTTAGAACTGGAGGAAAGGTTTGGGGGCTTTCCTGTATACCCCAACAACTTGGTAAGATGGGGCTTACTAACCCCAGGTTACAGACAGGGAACCAGAGCTGAGACGGGCTAAAGGCGTTGTCCAAGGTCACTGGCTCCAAAGCTCTTGCTCCTTCCATGGCTCCACATGGCTTCTGTTTCTCTGTCTGCACAAGTCAGAACCACCGTAGGACACATGAGAGGCTGAGGGAGTCGTGCAATGCTAGTCACGGCATGGGCGAGTTCTCTTGAGTAGCTCTATTGAGTTATAATCCACATGCCCTACAAGGCACTGTTGAAAGTGTAGGACTCACTGGATTTCAGTGTATTCAGAGACCTGTGCAATTATCACCACAGCCCATTAGAGAACATTTCCATTACCTCAGAAAGAAGCCCTATACTCTTTAGGGATGACCACCTTATCTCCCTGTTTCCCCCCGGTCCTGAGCAATCACGAATCCACTTTCTGCATCTATGTATTTACTTATTATATAATAATTCCCTTATTATATATATTCACATGTAATTACTTCTATGTCAGTATTTACATAGACATACTTATTCTAGACATTTTCATGTAGACAAAATCATATATTTATGGTCCTTTGTGTCTGGGTTCTTCTTTCTTTCTTTCTTTCTTTTTTAGGATTTTATTTATTTATTTGAGAGGGAGAAAGCAAGAGCAGGTGA